AAATCCTGCGCATCATCCACAGAGAAAGGAAAAGTAATAAATATTTTGTGTAAGACCCTAAAAAGGATATTAATGCTAATGTACTGTGAAGCGACAATTTGTAAGGAAGTCTTGAGTAACAGTGTTTCCACGCAATCCAATTAAAGAAAACCGGAGCTGCAATACGACAATATGTACAACTAAATAAAACAACGATGTACAATAACTCAAAAATCTGTGCTTCCGGCACAGGAGTATCAAACAACAACAACAACAATCCACGTTGGCCAGCAAGCTGAGCTACATGTCCACGTAGAACAAGGCCGTCCCAATGTAGTGTGGCTTAAACAGGCTTACCCCTGACCAATCGGAAAGGGAGGTAACCATGAAACCTGAGCGTTTGGCCAGTAGCTTACGCACACACACACACGCACACACACACACACACCACGATAGTATTGCAAGTGTTGCAACTGCACACAGAGTAAAATTTACATTTGGCCTCACGGACATGGTAGTTTCATGTATGTACACTCTACTCATATGATCTCGCAACATCATCAAGTCACATGCGATGTGAAGAATGTCTTGCTCGCCAGTGTCCGAATACTACGGCGAGGGAGTTAAAACGGAAAATCACAAAACCGATAAAATGAGGCGAAGCCACGTGAAGCGACAATGAGGTATGTTCAGAATTTGAAGACGTTGGTCAATGCATGCACGATCGAATGCAGGCCATTTACCTGTTTAACGTGTGTATAAACGTAATTCAGTTGGCATGGAACACAATCTCCATTGACAGTCAGTTAGTAGAAATCGGTTGGGAGAGGGAGTGGTGGAAATGCAGCAGAGGATAGAACATGTGATTTGGATTACTCCTCGGTTTTGAGTTTCTCAGTTGCAATATCAGACGACTGACATGTTGTAGCTGTAATACCACAACTCGCTGTTATGTTATATATAAAATGTTGCTTCAATACTTTTCGCGGTTAACGCGGTTAACTGCGTATCTGCATGGAAGTGATTGGCTCAAAATAAATGGGCATTGGTGGTGATCCCGGAGTGACGGACTATCGTTCAATGTTACTTCAAGTTTAACCCGTAGCAGACGTGAATATCCTAGTTTTCTCCGTGATCGGCAGATGGCGTTTCTAGGCAGGTTAAATTGTGTGATGCCCGATTAGGTTCAAGGCAGTAAATGGTTTAAGTTTGCCCCCACAACTTTCAACCGTGGTGAAGCTAGTTCAGTCTTCAAGGATTAGTTATAGAGTTGCGCTAATAGCAAGAGGATTAAACCATGGGCACTAAAGGGCTAATAGCCAAGTGACTAACAGTCTTTATTGAGATTCTTCAAATAGGCTGATAAATTGAGCTGAAATTTGAGTTGAACTAGTCTCGCCTCTTTGGTGTGTTAACTTGTTCGAAAGGAAGAGGGATTACTGTTAGCGGGCATCCTGGATCTAGGGGAAAACCGACGACATGACCAAACAGCAATGAGTAGTGGAGGCTGCTGCTTCCCATCACTTCGGCATCTTCTAATTACGGAATGAGAATTATTATTTGGTGGTATGACCTGAGTTGCAAAGCTGAATTTGTTTAAAAGTTTGCTGCCAAAATCAATCCACTTGCTGAAAAGGATGATGACCCTTGACAAGAAATAGTTTTGTGTGGTGGATGTAACCATTAGATAGTTGGACAGAACTTAGCGTAGGCTCCGGATTGAAATCCGTCATTATCCGGTTGATTAGGGTGGCCACTACCGAGATGCGACCGAGAGCGGGATACTAAATATACGTGGCGCGTTGCGGTGAGTAGCATTAGCATAGGTCCAAAGAAGATATGTCCACAGTTGATGCAAATTCAAATGATTTGTAGTAAAATTAGCATATACTTGCATACACACATGTATGTTTCTTGCATAGCCATTGGTTAAAAGCATACCTTTAACGCGTGTTTAGCTAGTTGTTTTATCAGAGCAAACGGAACTTACAAACGAAACAAAGAATTTCCACTCTTTCACTGTTGAAGCCTACGGAGAGAAGTAAATGTCGTCCTATATCTATACAGTTAAATTATGATAAGAAAAGATATTATACATCTGAAGTTGCTTCATAATTAAACTGGTATAAATGATCCTTAAAACACTTCAAATCCTGCGCATCATCCACAGAGAAAGGAAAAGTAATAAATATTTTGTGTAAGACCCTAAAAAGGATATTAATGCTAATGTACTGTGAAGCGACAATTTGTAAGGAAGTCTTGAGTAACAGTGTTTCCACGGAATCCAATTAAAGAAAACCGGAGCTGCAATACGACAATATGTACAACTAAATAAAACAACGATGTACAATAACTCAAAAATCTGTGCTTCCGGCACAGGAGTATCAAACAACAACAACAACAATCCACGTTGGCCAGCAAGCTGAGCTACATGTCCACGTAGAACAAGGCGGTCCCAATGTAGTGTGGCTTAAACAGGCTTACCCCTGACCAATCGGAAAGGGAGGTAACCATGAAACCTGAGCGTTTGGCCAGTAGCTTACACACACACACACACACACACACACACACACACACCATGATAGTATTGCAAGTGTTGCAACTGCATTCAGAGTAAAAGTTACCTTTGGCCTCACGGACATGGTGGTTTCATGTATGTGCACTCTACTCATATGATCTCGCAACATCGTCAAGTCACATGCTCGCCAGTATCCGAATACTACGGCGAGGGATTTAAAACGGAAAATCGCAAAACCGAAAAAATGAGACGAAGCCAAATGAAACGCCAATGAGGTATGTTCAGAATTTGGAGACGTTGGTCAGTGCATACACGATCGAATACAGGCCATCTAACTGTTTAACGTGTATATAAACGTTATTAAGTTGGCACGGAACACAATCTCCATTGACAGTCAGATAATAGAGATCGGTTTGGACAGGGAAAGGAGTTTGGTAAATGGTAATCACAACCAGGATCCAGAGTAAGGTAGGAAGGCAGCAGAAGATAAGACATTTGGGAATCTTCTACAAACAATGAGCAGTTGTTTCATCTGTGAGAAGTTTCCCGTATATATTTCGTGAAAACTACTGACACATCGCTCTCAATTGGCTGACGCCGGACCCACCAGACTCGTAGCAGTCATGGTTGCAAATCGATTACATAGTGATCGGTTACCGTCGGAGAGTCTGCGTCCAAATCTGTTGCTCGATTTAATGCACCAGCTTTAACTTAAACCACGTATCAGTATTTGCCGATCTCCGGGTGGTTTTCGGTGACATTTGCGACGAAGCTATAAAATAATGGATACCAGCCAACTGGCTAAACCATATAGGGAGCGCATCGCACCCGGATAAGATTGTAGTGCAGTTGCAATATGCTGCCACCGCACAGGAATCAGCGACGTGATTCCACACATGTTCCCGATCCACCCACGATGGACTAACACATATTTTTTCTTCCCGCTCTCTATTCTCAGTATTCAGTATTCAGCATTCAGTTCTTGATGCGCATCAACATGCGCTGGCATCCGAGCTGAGTAAACGCTCATTGAACACAGTTGCATATCCGTGGTCACAAGTTTGCTAGATATTTGTTATCAATACGTTTGACCGTTGCGTTCTTAAGCAGTATTTAGAACTTCTCTAAATTCTCGCCTACGCATTTCGGTTTAGCGCGAACGTACCGAGACGCGCAAAATTCTCATGGCTATAATGACAGCTGATGGCTGTTGGATGATAATTTTATGGTGAAATTGGCAAACACCAAAAGACAAAAGGGGGTAAATACCTTTGAATGTTACCATCGCTGCAGAATAAGATATTTCTGTGCAAGAATTCTGATGCGTAACCCAACTGCAATATGTGTACCCTTTCCGAAGCTTTGTTACGTTCCTATACCTGTAAATCAGAGGATGTTTTAACTTTGCTCATTTGAGCTATACCATACCAGAATGGTTCCCTAAAGTTTTGCCAGAAATTGCCGCAACCATTATTGGTTTTTTGGTACTGTCCATCTTTTAAATTACTTATCATTTGATGTTGTGGCTTGTCCGTTTCCTTCGATAAGAAACGAGTGCTAATTTAATAAATATTACGGAATAAAAGTAAACCATGCCTCATGGGTATTCTGTTTGTTCTCTCACCTGGAATGGAAAAGTTTACACCTGCGTATTCTTGTGGCAGCTGGCATTCGGTTGGTTTTACCTCCTTTAGTTTCCCTGAAATAATTGATCCAAACTCTGTCGTTGTCTTGGCCAGCAAAATGGAACACACTTAAGCCATTTGCACTAGATTAAAAATGCAATGGCCTTAGCTTAGATTGGCATTTGTTTTAGTAACCTGGACAGCTCGTGATATATTTCATTAAATTTAATCCGATCAAAATGTAACCCATACTGCTGATTGTTTGCTATGGTTTTACGAGTCTAAGGAGGAATTACTAAGAATAATTACACCTATGTTCTCGATGTTGCTTGCTAGCATGATGAGTGACCATGAAACCTAGTGGCCTCGTCTTGGATCGGAGAAGGAAACAATCGCTGCCCACGATAACAATCCCATGGGACCTAGGGTTAGTCATGATGCCCACAGCCTGGCAAAACGCTTGAGACGTTGGGCCAAGCAGTTTACTAACATGTTGATGTAAGCTCAGAACTTTTCAAGCATCCAAGTTCTTTAAATTGCGATTCGTCGCCATGGACCTTCAACTTGACTATGTTAATATTGAGTTTTGAGCAATTTCAAATACATGCTATCTTTAATCAACGAAGTAACTAATTTAAAAGTTGGTTAAGCTTCTGATCCACAAAAGGTTTATTAGTTTTTTTTCAAATTTGATACCCTAGTATTTAGCGTATTCGTCGGTTATATTTTAAGAGCGTAATTGTGCGATAAGCATCGTGTCTTAATCGACCCCCCAGCAGTTCGACACTTTTTGTTAACCTAATCATTCTGAAACGCGCTACTACTTTCTTATTAGTAGTATAAAGGTAATTCTTTTTCAACTCACCCCCTTTCACCAGCCGATATGAACTCGGTGCTCAAAACTTCTAAGGATAGTCGGAAGGCTGCCGTCTATTGTGGGCTATATTTGGATAAACACGCGGACTTGTTTCATAAAATGGATCCTGGCTTCCGTCACACGAAAAGCGATGTGTGATTGAGGTTGCTTTAGAACGATAAATGACGTGGAGCGGAAATTTTATCGGGTGCCTGACCATTTGCTCACTGACCGCTTAGAACATTTTCCGTGTTTGCCAAACAAAAGTTTTCCTGAAGCTACTCGAATACGTCACTTCAGAATCTCTACGTGACATTGTTCTATTCTGGTACCATTCTATTCTATTATACTTTATATTATGTTCTATTAAGCCCTACCATAAGGATGCAGGATATTTCCGTGTTTAGTTTCCATTCTTTCGACCAATGTATATTTGTTTCCTCAACATTATTTATTTTTCAAATCATTCTTTCAGAAAATTAGTTTTTTTAATTCAAATCGGTGTGATAGTGTACCTAATCGACCGTCTGTTATTACCTACGAGAATGTTGCGTTTGCGTTTGTAGCAAAACGTCTTAGGCAGTACTCACTTGAAGGTTGGCGGACAATAATTCCCCATTGCAGAATACAGATTTGCTACGTACTCGCATGGTTTGAAGAATCAGTTGAAGTAATACTAGCTTCTATTACGATTGTGAGTCGAAACGCTACAGAGAGGCTTCAACAGATGAGGCTCATTAAAATAAAAACAGTGTGGTGGCCATGGCAGAACAGCGGGACCCACAACGTAAGGTATCCTAAAACATGAGTTTACTTGTGCACATACAGTAGGCAGTCCAACCCTAAATCTACGAAGGCTGCCTACGAGCAGCCCCTGGTAGGTCCGCTTTGGATTCTAAGCACATGGTGCAGCAAACTCGATTGAAATTCCGTGGAAGTGCTTTATCAAATAAATCCGTTTCTCATAGGAACTTGCATATCAGAATGTTTCAGTTGGCTACCAGAAGTCGGAACTATGGAATAACTTCCAGTCAAGAGTAAATAACTGGTGAATATGTCTTTTCCAGATTTTTCTCTAACAATAATTCTATCCTTGACGTTTGTATGGAAAGTTGGATACTACTCACTTGGGAACTATTGTGGTGCACCGGCAATAGATACACTGAATGCTCCTACTTACAAGTTTCGAGGTTGCATTCAGTTTGACCTACGCGGCCTTTTATTATGGATCCAGCAGCCAAATTTTTCTTCACCCTCAAGGCAACCACCGCTCCTAAATTACTGAGTTAATTGCTGCGTTAGTGGACGCCATGTTTCAAATTTCACTCTGCAATGCTATGTATGTACTTTGATTTTCGTGACTGAGCCGGCGCTAAATTGACAGCAGGAAAGACAAACCTTTGCACCAATGTATCTACCTAAATTGTCGTGCCAACTACATCATGTCCAGTCAGCTTGTCACTGGGGCCCGACAGAGTGTTCGATCTGTCCGTAGACCTACACTGTCTCCACTAGTCAAGGCTACCGTCGTAGTACACGAGATTGAAATTTGCTAGCTTCTAACTATGACTCAAAAGTTGGCAAATAAAAGCCAGGTGAAATGATAGGTGCTCATACTTTTCCTGGAAACTTGTGCAACGCGTAGAAATTCGACTTATGGTGGGACAGTGAGAGAATATCCGATGAAATTATCCAATCATTCTAGTAGACTGTTTAGTGTAGAATGACAAAGATGTGTGCCTATGAAACACGATGTGGTTAGCAGACGCCTTATGCAAGTCACTCAATACTAATGAGCGGTTTCTTGACAAGCCGCATCGTAACAACTCCGAACTGGTGGGCATTCTACGTAATACTTAGAATTTGGAAAGATAACTAACTTGCTTACCGTGGTATGGTGTACTTTAATCTGAAAGTGGCTTTCATTAAATTTATGGAATTGTTTACTAATAGTCAGACCTAACCAGCAGCACTTGATGCCTATGCGAGTGGTCCACCGAAATAACTGAGGTGACCTAAGTTCCAAAATCTCAACTAAAAGCAATCGCATTGTCTCCTCCGGACGTTTTAAGGTTTGGATAATGTGTTTATCGAAATATGTGTCTAAAGTATACTTTCATATTCCCTTGACAGAAGCTTAACTGTTCTACTAATCCAAGTTCAGTGCACAGTTCGCAGGCTAACACTGAATGGTCTTTCCGCTAGAGATGTGCGTTGGAAGTGGTGCTGCATGCGAAAAGTATTGAAGCAACATTTTATATATAACATAACAGCGAGTTGTGGTATTACAGCTACAACATGTCAGTCGTCTGATATTGCAACTGAGAAACTCAAAACCGAGGAGTAATCCAAATCAAGATGTAGCAAATTGCCAAATGTTCTATCCTCTGCTGCATTTCCACCACTCCCTGTCCCAACCGATTTCTACTATCTGACTGTCAATGGAGATTGTGTTCCGTGCCAACTTAATTACGTTTATATACACGTTAAACAGGTAGATGGCCTGCATTCGATCGTGCATGCATTGACCAACGTCTTCAAATTCTGAACATACCTCATTGTCGCTTCACGTGGCTTCGCCTCATTTTATCGGTTTTGTGCTTTGCCGTTTTAACTCCCTCGCCGTAGTATTCGGACACTGGCGAGCAAGACATTCTTCACATCGCATGTGACTTGATGATGTTGCGAGATCATATGAGTAGAGTGTACATACATGAAACTACCATGTCCGTGAGGCTAAATGTAAATTTTACTCTGTGTGCAGTTGCAACACTTGCAATACTATCGTGGTGTGTGTGTGTGTGTGTGCGTGTGTGTGTGTGCGTAAGCTACTGGCCAAACGCTCAGGTTTCATGGTTACCTCCCTTTCCGATTGGTCAGGGGTAAGCCTGTTTAAGCCACACTACATTGGGACGGCCTTGTTCTACGTGGACATGTAGCTCAGCTTGCTGGCCAACGTGGATTGTTGTTGTTGTTGTTTGATACTCCTGTGCCGGAAGCACAGATTTTTGAGTTATTGTACATCGTTGTTTTATTTAGTTGTACATATTGTCGTATTGCAGCTCCGGTTTTCTTTAATTGGATTGCGTGGAAACACTGTCACTCAAGACTTCCTTACAAATTGTCGCTTCACAGTACATTAGCATTAATATCCTTTTTAGGGTCTTACACAAAATATTTATTACTTTTCCTTTCTCTGTGGATGATGCGCAGGATTTGAAGTGTTTTAAGGATCATTTATACCAGTTTAATTATGAAGCAACTTCAGATGTATAATATCTTTTCTTATCATAATTTAACTGTATAGATATACGACGACATTTACTTCTTTCCGTAGGCTTCAACAGTGAAAGAGTGGAAATTCTTTGTTTCGTTTGTAAGTTCCGTTTGCTCTGATAAAACAACTAGCTAAACACGCGTTAAAGGTATGCTTTTAACCAATGGCTATGCAAGAAACATACATGTGTGTATGCAAGTATATGCTAATTTTACTACAAATCATTTGCATTTGCATCAACTGTGGACATGTCTTCTTTGGACCTATGCTGATGCTACTCACCGCAACGCGCCACGTATATTTAGTATCCCGCTCTCGGTCGCATATCGGTATAGCCACCCTAATCAACCGAATAATGACGGATTTCAATCCGGAGCCTACGCTAAGTTCTGTCCAACTATCTAATGGTTACATCCACCACACAAAACTATTTCTTGTCAAGGGTCATCATCCTTTTCAGCAAGTGGATTGATTTTGGCAGCAAACTTTTAAACAAAATTCAGCTTTGCAACTCAGGTCATACCACCAAATAATAATTCTCATTCCGTAATTAGAAGATGCCGAAGTGATGGGAAGCAGCAGCCTCCACTACTCATTGCTGTTTGGTCATGTCGTCGGTTTTCCCCTAGATCCAGGATGCCCGCTAACAGTAATCCCTCTTCCTTTCGAACAAGTTAGCACACCAAAGAGGCGAGACTAGTTCAACTCAAATTTCAGCTCAATTTATCAGCCTATTTGAAGAATCTCAATAAAGACTGTTAGTCACTTGGCTATTAGCCCTTTAGTGCCCATGGTTTAATCCTCTTGCTATTAGCGCAACTCTATAACTAATCCTTGAAGACTGAACTAGCTTCACCACGGTTGAAAGTTGTGGGGGCAAACTTAAACCATTTACTGCCTTGAACCTAATCGGGCATCACACAATTTAACCTGCCTAGAAACGCTATCTGCCGACCACGGAGAAAACTAGGATATTCACGTCTGCTAAGGGTTAAATCTGTAGTAACATTGAACGATAGTCCGTCACTCCGGGATCACCACCAATGCCCATTTATTTTGAGCCAATCACTTCCATGCAGATACGCAGTCAACCGTCACGTAGGTCGAGGCAGGGATAGTCGATCGTACTATGACAGTTGCCATGAGAAAATACGGCTCTTTCTCTATTACCAGATGCCTTACAACTGAACGGTGAGAAAAGCCGCTTCTCAAAGGCATGGAATCTAGCTACAAGATGGCAAGGATCTCCGAATGTCTTAAGGTTACTCGGTGAACGGCGGATATTTATCGCTTTTGGCTTGCCACTAGGTTAACATCAATAGAATTTCAACACAGTTTGACTCAGTCAAACAGCCATCACACGCCCGAAAAAGCATGTACGGCCGTTTTATCCTTTCGTGAATCGTCAACACTGTGCAATTCATCTGATTTTTGTAGGGCTCAATCTCGCAACTTAACTGTTCCCAGTCTGTGGCTGAGACCACTGAGCTACGGAGACAGCAACGACCGTCGTGACTAAATTAGTAGCTGTGTTATTGCATCACTCACTATCGACTGACTTGCATTGTAGAGGTTGGAACCCTAGAAAGGTCAGATGGAATGCGCAAAGCTGACGATTCTCGAAAGCATAAAACGTCCGTACATGCTTTTTCTCGCGTGCTATGGCTGTCTGCCCGAGTTAAGATGTGATGAATTTCTACCTAGGGCATTAAACTCCCCCTGCTAGTCTTCCGTTGTCTAAGGTAACCCAAGCAGTTGGATGCCAAATCGATTGATAATGGTGCACTGACTGCTTTTG